ACAACAGCCACTACATGTCCAGATATCGATACACAACAACACGTGATGACTATTTTATAAGTAAAGGATGAGAGAATAAATGGTCGGATTGAATTTTAGCTAGTTATGGGAATGCAGAATGTTGCTGTCACGAACACCAGTTTCAATGGTCTGATCTTTTTATCATTTGTTCACTTTCTTTTTTGTTTCGTTTGCTTTTACATTTTTGTCTCTTTTAGATATTCAAATTTACTTTCCTTGAATATTCGAATTTTGAGCTTCATTTAAAACGGAGATGGATCGGAGATTATTGCCACAAGTTTCTTTCAGGGAATGTTTCAAGGTCCATTTAAGCTTTCATCACGTTGTAGAATCAGCAAACAGTAATGACATATTCGCAAAAGACCTTATGGGAAAAATAATGAATGTAAAAGATTCAAGTTTCAGTTCAGTTTCTAGGGCGACTTTATTTGAATTTCAAAAATTTAATCTCATTTCTGCTACTTTCTAATTTTTGTCAACCTTTGATTACGTATCACAACTTTTCGGAGATTACTGTCACAGGTTTTTTAAAATAGTTTTTTTGTAAAAATATTTTTTAAATCTACCAAAACCAACAGATAATCCAACAATTTACTTGGTGTGGCTGGTTTTATATTTAGGTGCAGAGATTTCGTATCAGATGTGATATTGAGTTTATTTTTAGTCAAATTTAGGTAATCGATAGTTTGCATGGACATTTTGTTCAGTTCTATCCGGTGGTCCTCTCGTTGACTTATTTTTCTCCTTTGTTTTTTTTTTTTATTTTTATTGCCACGTTACTATTATTTTTCCTCAGTGAATGTTTTGAAAATTTTCATTCTTTTTTTCACGCTGCAAAACTGCATTGCAGTAATTTTGCAGCAGTTCTAAGTGTTCTTTTCGCAATGATTCTGCATTTCATAAAGATATGTGCCAATTTATTATGAGAAGTGACTAATTTGAGCGTGCATTAAGATGAAACCTCCTCGTTTCCTGAACAAAATTTGTATAAACTATTAGAAAATGTGATAATTTACTTTATTTAGAGGTTTGTAGCTACGTCTGTTTGTGTTTTGTAACAAAATATAATATATTTATTATGTTTTTTATAGCTCTTTTTGTAAGTTACTTAAATGTGCTTTTGAATGAATTTATAATTTCTCCAAGATCTTTTAAAGCACTGCATGCATCATTACCTACGTTATTCAATTCATGAATTCATTTGTGCACAATAGGGGTGCAATATCCAACGATCGAAATAAAGATTATTTGACATTGTCTGATATCCTCTGATACTTATTGCACATTTTTTTTTTCTGTAGAAATTTCTTCACGTTTTTTTTTTGTAAAATTTTTTTATTTGTAGAATGCAAAATGATATATCGAGTTAGCTTCAAGCAATGTTCATATAATGTTTTCATTATTATTACGTTATGAATCAACAATTTATATGTAAAATATAGGATTACATTAGTCCCAGATGTATTCAGTATAGTGTACAAACTTCTATAATAGATATATTAATGTTTCAATAAATTGTTATGGTAGTATTTTTTACATAAATATTTCTGTTATTCTCATTTTAGTTCTGTTCTTTATCAGATTTATATACCTTGTAAAGTTTCGAAAGCATTTTTAGAGGCTTTTTTTTTTATGTGAAGTATTTCAATTTAAATGTTGTTTAATTTTAGCGCGATTCACGACGTCTGAGATATTATTCCAATACTAATAGTGCAGTGTTTCAATGTGTATTATTGTAAGCCTAATTTTGCACGGACAGGTATGGTTAGAAAGGGGAAGAGAATAAGGAGCTGTTATATTGTAAGTCGTTGAAATGATATAAATAATTGTGTGTTTCGCGGATATTATTGATGTTGTCAATGAATTTTATCAGCATTATTAATAGATCTTAATTGAAGGTGATAAGTGAGCTTCTGCAGTAGAATTATTAACGTCTAACAGTTTGGCAAGCAAAATGGGTGATTGGGGTAAGTCTTGCTTTTCTGTATTTTTTTGTACTTGTGGGGTGGGAGCATATGTACAATGATTTCGAGGTTAACTTCAATTTTTTGTCTTTTGATGTTTTTCGTCAAATATAGCTTACAATAGTATGTAGAGTTTAGGTCGAACAATGTTTATTCATATTAATTATAGATGATGATGATTTCGAAGTTGATGTGAAACAGCTAGATGAAAAGAAGCATATTATAGTAGACGAAGAAATAGGCGACAAATCAGAGCAGAATCAAGTAAGTGTTTCTATAAAAATAAATCTAAGGAAATTTTTTTCCTTTTTTTATAAAATCTAATTTTCAAAATTTTTTTTTTTTTTTTGAATTTTATAAATCTAATTTTTAGGCTGACTATGCTAAAAGTAAAACAACCAGAAAATAATAGTTTTCGACTAAACTCTTCTTGTTTTTGTCCAGTTTTTTGGCGAAACTCCCATGACCAGCCGTTATCTCGATATGTCTGAGAGATGATCCTCTTTTTTAACAGGAAATAAGATTATCTCTTTCAGTCGCTTAATTCAACCAAGTCTGTACCATCGAAATCGAAGAAAAAGATAGACAGTCCACTGAACACCTTTAGTGCCGACCTCAATCGAGAATTGAGTGAAAAGGAAAAGGAGCAGCTGCAGAGGAAAGCTGATCTGAAGCTTGCAAAAGATTTATTTGGTATGCTTTTCATATTTATGTAACTCTTATAGTATTAAATTGTTATATTTTTATTATGCTATATTAAGTTTCCCATACATACTTGTATCTGTTTTATGTTGTAATCCTTTTTTGTTGTTTGCGCTTTGCTGCATTTTTGCATTTTAATTGAATATACAAATTGTCCCAAGTGTTTCTGGTAATTTTCACATTAAAGCAAAGCGGAAGATTTTCATTGAAAAATGAAAAAAAAAATGAAAAAAAACCGTATAGCAAAATTTTATTCATAAAAATTTCCAGGTATTGACGAGGATGAAGCATTAACTTATTCGGAATTGACTTCCTTGGACGAATTTAGGACATTTGGTGAGAATATTGGAAAAATGCTTTTAGCACGATCAAATGCTACCCATTTTTCTGAGATGCTTGTTTCACTTCTCAAAGTTGTCCTTTCACACAGTAAGTTTAATATAAAGATTCTGGGTGTGTTCATAAAATCAACAGTGATTTGTTTCTTACTAACTTTGAACTGAGGGATAGGATGTAAAATGCTGTTTGGAATTTAAGCCCAGAAAATGGAGAGGTTTCTGTTAGCTAATAAAACATAACAAATAACACGATCTGAAATCCACGAAACAGTAGATTAAGGATATATACGAATCAAGACAATTCATAAGGCCATTTAACATACTTCTCAAAAGACATGAATTGGTAGATTCTGTTTGAATTATATTTCTAATTCGAACTTTTGTAAATTTTATCCATTCTAAAAATGTATACAAAAAGGGCATTCTGAATTCAGTGGCAGTATATTTTATATTTAATATTTTTACCAAGATTTCTATTTATTTTTTTAAATAACTAATCTTAAAAATTTTCAGTGGATGCGAGCAAAGCAAGGGTTTTGAGTACGGTTGTAAAAACTATAGCGGATGAAAAGACAGCAGTTGAGAAGGTATTTAAATTGATGATTTTCCGTAATTCGTATGGATTTTCTACTTTATTGCTTTAATGAATTCAAATTTTAATGAATTCATTTTTTCAATTAAGTAAGAAAACATTACCAATATAACTTGTGCTTAGATGATTGAATTCTCAGAGACAGAGTGAGGAGCTGACAGTGTTGATATGAATTTCATAAGTTATAATTATTAGTATCATTTTCATCACTGATAATTTCTTACATATATCAGTTTGCTGGAGTTTCTTGCGTTTTTTTTTTTCTTGTTCGAAATGATGAATTAGATATTCATTTGACATAATTCATAGAAGAAAAAATCATTTCAGAAGGCAAAAGGGAAGGGTGCAACGAAACCAACGATAAGAAACGTCAGTAAGTCAAATACAGCCTCAGTTAAAGCGAAGAAAGATTTGTATGACGATTATGTATCTGATGAATACGATGATTATGCCGACCATTTTATGTAATTTGTATGACAATTATTTATCTGATGAATTCGATAATCATGTCGATCATTTTATATAATTTAAATTAATGTTTTTATTCCAGTTGCGCTCAAGTTCTCTTGTTTCTGTTTTATATGAATTTTTTTTTTTTTTCGGGATTACTGTTCAAATGTTTTTGTTGCTTAATCTAAAAAAGCCAGAGTGATTATTTTGAAGTACGAGGTATATAATCCTTAGGAAAATCTGATTTTTTGGATTTGAAGGCGTTAGGAAAAGTTACCAATCACTTATCATGTACCTGAATTCTAATGTAATGTGCGTGCATTTCATGTTTTTTTCATTTATTTACATTCAATATTACTATTTAAAAACAATGTTGAATTCTTTCTTGACTTATAGTTCACGTCAGTTGTTCTTACATAAATATGTATGCGGTGGTAATTCGCAAAACTGATTGGAAATTTTAAAACATTTCAAGCAATTAAAGCGAAATTTCTAGACGCATCTGCGTAAGCTAGCATTTCATTTTAATCGCACCCGTGTATTCATTGACTGTTTGGTCACAATAAAGTTTTTGTTGTCAGTTGTTTATTCTCAAATAAAGTTATTTGCATGAATTTGTTTTCTCTTTTGCTTTTTTTCTTTATAGATTCTGGACAAGTTATTTTTTTTCCAAGAAAGTGTAACATTTTTTCGAATGTGTTTGTTATCTAAGCAACAATTACAACATTCATTAACTGTAATATCTTTTTCTACTAATTAAGGGTTGTAAATGAGGTATAAATCTTGCAACTAATCAACTTATCAACTATTTATCATTTATATTTGAGTTGGTAGAATTGACAGGGATTTTACTGCAGAAAATAAGTGAGTATGGAAATCTTCAGACTAGCCTTTTATAGTAGGTGTTTTGCATGACTTATTCATTGGGCAAAGATGGCAGATGAAGCATCCAGTTCGAATGAAATACGACGTAATTTACGAAGTCATTCAACAAATTTGATCCGATATGAAACGGATGATTTTGAAACAAGTTATGATAATATTGATATAATGCAGTGGGAAGACGATGATATCGGTAATTATCAAACAAATCATTATTATACTGTATTACATGATAATTATATTCCTGTAATCATAATCATACTATTCTATTAATAATTGAATTTTTCTGACAAAGGAATAATTAGAAAAGGCTACACGGTTTCAAGTAATTTGAAAATTTCATCACTGGTATTTCAAAAGTATGATTGTAAACATTTTAGAGTAATTATTCCCATGAATTCGTTTATTTAATTTATTCCTTCATTTTATATTGCACTTTTATAGCTTTACATTTGGCTGCCAGTAAATCTTGTCTGTTACCTAATCGACCAACAGCACAAGAAATGCATGCTTTTCCGGAGCTAAAAATGAGTCGTGGGAGTACCGCTTTATATCTATATTTGAGGAATAAATTGGTAACTTCATGTCTTAATTATTTTAAAATAAGACAAAATGTTGCAAAATCTTTTTTAGTTCTCGAAAATATTTAATTTTCTTTTTTTCTTTTTTGCATTTACTTGAGACAAATAATTTCTTGTGCAAATATTTCAGTTACAAATGTGGCATCGAAATCCGCGAATAGAACTTACATTTCGAGATTTTATGAGTGAATTATCCTCACCATATGATAGTAAGTTCTTACCATTTGTTTACATTAACAAGCACTCAATTTATAATATATAAAAGCTTCAGATTTCAGATTTATAATATATAAAAGCTACTGTACAGTTTAATATGGCAGGTTTTGAGCAAAATTATTTGTTTCATTTAATAAAACGATTCCTTTTTTTATTCCTTTTTTCTAATAAACGATTTTTCTAATAAAACGATTCCAAAATTCAAAATATAAGTTTTTTTTAGGTGATCCATTGTTCGTTCGTCGCATTTATGAATTCCTTCAACGTTTTGGTTATATAAATGTGGGCATCTTCAATCGCATATCTCGTATGTGGCTTAAATTGATGAATCTCAAAGTTTTTAATAGTTTTGAAAAATATTTTAGCCAAAATATATTGATTATATGGATTTGAATAGTTTGATCAACTTAATATTCTTATATATATATTTGTTGATAAATAATATATGTGCTACCAATCGATTTATTTTGGTTATAATAAATTTCAATATGTTATCCCATTATCCATATTGAAACATACAAAATATTTGTGATCCGTATTTTCATTAGCAAGTTTGAGTGTATTAGATATTTTAGTTCTTTAATTGCTAATTACAAGTTGAACATTGTTTCAGCTTCACCGAAAATACATCCAAGGCGGATAATAATAATTGGTGCTGGTATAGCTGGTATCATTGCTGCGCGACAACTTAAATTCTTTGGTTTAGATGCGATTATTTTGGAAGCTCGGGTGGGTTATTTATTCAATGGTTATAAAAATACCTCTTCCATTTTTTTTCCTTATCAGAACTACATACTTAAAGATTTTTCTACTCCGACATTTGAAATAATTTTTTAACAGTAGCATTATAGCTGGCTTAAGTTAATGTAAGAATTTGTTGAATTAAAAATTTAGCTAGAAAATATGTCCCCTTATCTCATTGGAAAAGGTTAGAATATTTGGATTATCCTAGTTTCTTTGTCTTATTTTGATTTAATTCTAATTTAGTGATATGTACAGATAATAATGTCCTAATATTGCAACAAAGGAAATCTTTGTTTAGTCTCGAATTGGTGGTCGTATATCAACATATATTAAACCACTCACTGGCGCCACAAATACGGAAATTGTTGCGGAATTAGGTGCATCCTACATTTATGGAGCATGTATGTGCTTTATAATTCAATTTAAAAAATGAAAAATGTTAAAATGACATCCATAGTTTTAACCACTAAATTGTCAACCAAATGAATCTTCATTGTAATAATGTTTGTGAAGAAACAGAAACAATTTTGTCAAAATTTTTAAAAAGATTTTTTTTTCCAACTGAGAAAGTGATGTTTGCTCTTGCTGTTTGATAAAAGACAGTGAAATCCTAAAAATAGGAAGATGTGAAGTGTTATAAAAACTTTTGATTTTTTTATTGATAGCTATTACCGAATTGAAGTGATTCATTCTTCCATATGATTTAATATTATTATCCACATTTGGATTCTTCAAGAAAGCTTCATCGTATTTAGTCGTAAAATTGTTATTTTCAATCACTAAAAAATTATGACCTGCATTCATTCACTTAATTATGTTTAAATTATTCGAAGTTATTATTTCCTTTCTTTTAATATATTTTGGCAAATGTTACTTTTCTTTAACGATGAGATAAGTATTTGGGAAATTATCTATGCAATCTATTGAACCAAACTATAGCAAATCTAGAAGACAACTTTTTTTTCCATTCCTATAACTTTATTTGATCTGTTTCAGTTGGAAATCCGTTGATGACATTATGTAAGCAATTTGAAGTTAGATGCCTTCCTGTTTGCCTTGACCAATGTCCAGTATATGATCCTAGTGGCAAAGCAGTATGTTACTTTTTCTTTTCATTTTAATATTTTATAAGTAAATATATTCTGTTTTTATGAAGGTTTAGAAAATTATTATTTTATCACTATGCATTACAAGAATTGTATGTTGCATCAAAATTCATAATCATCTATTTTTGTAAACACATGCATTTTTGATCATTTCAAAAATGTGATTTAAGATTGAACCACGACGAATACGATTAGTTGAGCGCGCATTCAATAATATCATTTCTGCTTCAACTTATATGGCAAATGTTAAAGGAATTACCGAACTGAACGGACGTAAATTAAGTTTAGGCGAAACTTTCACTGTTATGTTAAAGTAAGTTTTAAAGCATTTAATTTTATATCAAACATTTCATGTTTAACATCTATAATGTGTTCTTTCATGACATTATTAGTGTTACTTTTTTTGTAACATATAATATGTATAACGTAAATTTTTTTTTAAATGCAATTTTCAACATATTTCGCTTAATAAATTCTTATTAGAATGACAATTTTGTTGTTTTTTAATTTAACAATATCGCCACGTTGCAAAATGACTTTTATGAAGTTTTCTTTTTATTTTGACTTATTGCTTCAAGTCTGATGATAGTGTTTGACTTTATTACTTTGAAAATTATCTAATGTAGAATTTATACATTTAACATTTTTGTTTTTAGACAACAGGATTATCAGTTGCAAACCAGACGTATTTCTTATTTTGCATCATATGAAAATGTGCTAAATAAGCTAAAAGTTGTTCAAGATACGGTAAACGCATGTTTACTTTGTACTTTAAATATTTATGTGGTATTGTTTTAAACTTCGAGAATCTTTGGCTAGAATTTTCTTCAAAATTTTGTGAATCGAGTTCAGAATGTATGTAGTTAAAAAATTAATTGAGCGGTTAATAACTGTCATCGGACGGACTATTTCAAGAAACTTATATTCAACGTGATCTCATAGCAAATGTAATATTTGAAAATTTCCAAGAGATAGCATAGTAAAATTTTCGATGATAAACATTTGAATGTCTTTAGATGGTTCTTAAAAAGGATGAAATAATGCGATTGCATGCAGCTTATGAAGAATTAAAAGAGAAAGAAGGATGTAGTGATTTAAGCCAAGATGAACAAATGGAAAATGAAATTATGTTGAAGTGTGCCGTCAAAGATATCGATGATGCTATTCAGGTCGTGTGAAATTTGATACTGAAATTAAAAATCGATTACCAACTCTATTATTATGTGACATAATGATTTTTATTTCATCGTATAATACAGATTTTAAGACAAAAGAATTTTTTTCTTGCATTATATATTTTTATTATTATGTTTCTTTACAAATGCAACAATTACAAAAAAGAAGCTAATAAAAGATTTTTTAAATTTTAATTTATGTAATTAAGTTAGGAATAATATTACTAAGATAAAATTTTTAAAATCCATAACAATAAATGAACACTTAGACAAAATGGTTTCAATTATTTTTTATAAAACATTGAATTTTTTCACATATTTTACAGAAAAATTAATGATGAATTGCATGTAGTGTCGTTAAAATAACATTATCAACTCTTCTTTTTAATATATATTCTCTCCAATTTTAGGCTTATGAATCGTTGGAATCAAAAAGAAGAGAAATTAACGTTGCACTAGCAGAACTATCTAAGAATGAACCAAGGTATGTTATTTATATCTAAATTTCTCTAGTGGTTTAATTTTTTAATTTAATTTTATTGCCATCGCTTTTACATTCATTATACTGTTAGCTGCTTATTTCACTTTCATTTGAGTTTTCCATAGAGATCATAAGAAAGAACGCAATATTAAGCACTATAATATAAAATAAGACTGAATAATTCTCTTAAAATTTGTCATTTTCGATTAAACGATAGTTGAAATGCTAATAACATATCTGCTTATATGTTTATTAACCCTCTTTTTTTTTCTTTTCTTCATTTTATTAAAGTTAATGAGAATTGCGAATTTAATACAATTATTTTTTAAAAAATAAAATTCTAAATAGAGAAGAATAGCTATAGCCATATAATTATTTGGACATAATTACTTACCTTATTTCACTGTTAATTGTCACATTGATATCTTGGAAAATAGGAGAAAGCTTGCAGATTTAAATAATTAATTATATGGAATTATGTATTGGACATAATTTTCTGATCAAAATATATATTTATAAGTTCAGTGTGTTAAATTTCAGTCTTTACTGTTTTTTCCGAAATTGTTACACCGCTTAAAACAAAATTCTAGAAATCTCGGGGAAAATTATTATTTAAAACATACAATGTTTAATTATCCCTTCCAAATTATTGACAATCTGTTGTTCTGCCCGAGTTTATTTGTCCGTTCGTCTGTTTGTTTACAATTATTATAGTGTCAGATTGCATCAATGATGACTTATGTTCATGTTTGACCTCTCGTATAACCTTTTGTTCAATTTTGCCTCATCTTCTGCCCACATCTTTTTTTTAGCTTTCTCTGGGAATTCTATCCTCTCTCAGTGTCTAATAAATGTGATACTAGAGGTCATAATATTGGTAATAATCGGTGAAATACCGTATCGTTGAAGAGAGAAATGACAAAGGATGATGGAAAAAGAGAGAATTAAGAATTGCGTCAAAATATAATCATCACACATCTCCATATGTGTGCATATATTTATGCTAATTAGATACATTGGATAATTACAGTGAAATAGGGAAGAATTATTGTTGGAGTAAGAAAGATGAATAAAAGATCAGTAAAAGAAAGACACAATGAAAGAATGAATTTTTTTCATTTAAAAAAAGCATGAAATTGAACATTTTTCCTCAAAAAAAGAACAAAAGCTGTTAAATGCTAAAATTTAATAAAAAGAATAAAATTATATATGCAAAATATAAATATTATATTTTTACACTGCTAACAATTAACTTTTAAATTATTCCGAAAACAATACGTGTAATTATAATAACGTTAAGTGAACCAGCGATTAGTTGATCATAAATTTAGGAAAAGATAAAAGATTTCATCAAAAAATATTGATAAGAATTTGGATGGGAAGAAATCAGAAATTAAAAATATCATATATATATATATCTTTAATAGAAGCATTACACTTATAATTTGGATTATTGGAATTTAAAAAGAGAAAAAAAAAGGAAATAATAGATCCAATCAATAATTCATTGTTTGGTTTAGCATTGTTTTAATTTTTAGTGCTGTTTATATGAATGAAATGGATAAAAGAATATTGGATTTTCACATTGCAAATTTGGAATATTTTATTGGTTCATCGATTGATGAAGTTTCTTTGAAATATTGGAATCAAAAAGCAAATTATGGCTTGGAAGGACCAAATATGTATGGTAAGTGCTTTAATGCATGCGTTTTTTTTTTAGATGCTTTACTTTCAAGAATGAAATTAAGAGGGAAAAGTATTCGAAAGGTTAAACAAAACCATTAAAAGTTAAATGAATGAAAATCTCATAAAAGTCATTGATGTCAGCAATTTAAAAGGAAAACATTTGCTCGATTAATTAATTAATAGAGAACAGATGAAGGAGGTAGAGCATTGAAACTGGTGGTAATGGCTTTATTAATAATTTCATGATATGAAGAAAAAATATATGCGAAATAATTTAAGTTTAATCTAACTTAATAGACTACGCTTTTTTATTTCAGTTTTTTTTTTTTTTTTTTGAACTTTTATTTTTCGAATTACATCAATTATCTATTACTTAGCATTATTATTAGTTATTTATTTACATATTTTCTAATTTCTTTCTTCTGATCATTTCTGGTCATTTAAATCTTCTTAGACTATATATTCTAACCTTTTGCATTTCTCAATCATTCCTAAGTTGTTGAAACGTTTTGCGTCTAAGTAAAATTTATTAGTGTAATGGAGTTAACTTTGATATATATGTATATGCCGTAATTTTAAAATGTCTCATAGGGTGTTGTGGGGTTTTTTATCTGAAATTTGTAGCTTTGGCATCAATTGCCGTTTTCTATTAAAAGTTTCAGTTTTAATTTAATGATATAAATGACATTAAAGTTTGGTAATTTGGTATTAGTACACTATGAGAATTTTTTTTTTTTTTTGCAGAAGAACGGCATAAACTTTATTAAATTGCATAAGTAACATTTTTTAATGAATAGTTTATTGAGAGAAAAGGCAAAACACTGGGCAATAGTGCAAAATAATTGTAACACACGCATAATATATTTATAAAATAAAATAATAAAAAAAGGAGAAATGCTTTTTGATATTTGTTTAAAAAAGAAAAGAAATGAAATTCATTTCAACTAGTTCTTTATTCTTACCAGATTTTTTTTGAAGGAAAAATTGAATGTGAATGTCATACATTCATCTACTAAATCTTTATTTCCAAGCATTTTACCTTAATTTAAAATCGAAGAAAGAAATATTATCATTCAGTAATAATAATAGTCTAATAATATCTACAAAATGAAAAAAAAAGACCCGTGAATTGAAGAGCAATAATATCAGTAAAGCAATTTGATAAAATTAATGATACTATTAGGAATTTGTGCAGTACTGATTTCAAATTTAAGTTCGATCTTTTTAGATCATTTCAATCTTTGAAATAAGTCATATATATCTTTAACTTTCTCAATCTAATTTGATCATTTTCTCAGCTTTCGAATAGACCACCTAAAATGATTGAAATATTTGGATTCTCTCTAGATAAATTAAAACTGAAAAATGAAACGTTGTTAACGAAGGTTTTTATTTGTTTTTGTTCCTATTTTTCTTTTTTTTTAAAGTTAATTTTTTTTTTCATTTATGAAAGAAAATAAAATTTTTCAAATGGTTTTCTTTTCTTCCTTTAAACAATGAAAAGAAACAAACTTTCTACTAAAGTAGTACCATCAAATGTTGTTATTATCAATACAAAAAATTATAAAAGAGAAAATATGCTTACATATTTAAACAATATCACTAGGCACAATACTACCGTAACAATCGGAATAAATCTGTGATGAGCCACCGCTACAGGATGACGGTGCTATTCGAATGGGTAAAGCTGAATGTAATAGATTCCAGAATAACGGATCATTCATTCGTATACACGTATTTTTCCGTAAAATTTGACCTAATTCAGCATCCAATTGATTAGCTTCAATACCATCACCAAGTAATGCAATTAATTTTTTATGACGATTTTTAGCAAAAATTTGATGAGATGTTTTAATCTGAAATGAAGAAAAAAATTTCAAAGTGCAAGTATTAAAATATTAAATTTTAAAGATTGGGATAAAATTATTTTAAAATTGTAACAGTAATATTCTGCTAGATTATGTGTTAATATTGTATTAAATTATCATGGATCAAATAATTATTTTATTTTCTGTAATTGATTATTTTCAGTTATTTAAAAAATGACCTGTAATGTTTTCCATTCGTTATCTAAGAAATGTTGAGTTAGAACAAGTATAAGGGATTGAGCACATTCCATTTGATTGATAAGTTCATCAGATATTGTATGTACCCGCGAACTATAATTTGGACCATCTCGATGTAACAGGCATAAAATATACTCTTCAGATTCGAGTTGCCTGGAAAATATAGGATTTTTTTTTTGAAAATTATAATGAATTATAAGAGTGTATCATGTTTATAGATTATTTTTTGAAAATAATATTCTTTTTTTTATAAAGAGTTTAATGGAAACTCATATAAAAATTCCTTTTATTTTTTTCATAAAAATTTAGCAAAATTCGGAAATATTTTTTGACAAGCTTTATTCACTTAGAAAGTAATCAATTGTAAATACTGTACAAGGAGAAAGTTTCTTTTTGAACCTTCAAAAGTTTTAAAATTTCATACCTGTATAGGGTATCGATGATAAGTTTTTCATCTTTTTTGGAATAACTAATGAAAGCATCGAAATGGATCAGTGGTAATGGACTGGAACCAGGTGTAGTATGTGTACCGGTAAATGATGGTGGTACCTTATACCTTCGTTGTACTATTGCTGATTTTGTCTTTCGAAGAAACAACACAACCAGAAGTACCAAACCGGTTGTTATTAATGCTACAGCAAACAGTACTGTAATGATAAGGAATGAATTTGTTGTCCCTTCGTTACCAAAAACACCGCTTGCGGTAGGTGCACAAATTGTCCTAAAAATGAATCACTTCGTCATGAATGAGATACCATAGCCAAAGTTTTTTTCTTTCTTTTTTAGTAATACTTGTTTTTTGGGCAATTTGATGCGTTGTAATAATCGTGGTAATAATAATGATCACGATTATGTATAATGATAGCAATAAAAAATGATTAAAGACAGGAGAAAGAATAATAGTAATAATATACCTTTGTCATTTATATTACCTATAACTTATATTTTATTCCATCAACTTAAACATAACATTTCCCTAAATAACTTTAATGATAAATTCAAATTTTAAAATGTTAGCAATAAAATTGATACTAACGTATTAGCAGTAGCAATAAATTGTGCCATTGGTATTTTAAAGATATCATCGCCAAAATTTGGTGAATAAGCACTAAGAATTGTTGTATCATTCTCACGAATTGCATGACTAATATTTTCAACGCAAAAAATATCTGATACGTCATGTATCAAATCTAAATTACGTGAAAACCAAAATTGTATACGAAAACGTGGCGAGCAATCACAACGAAAGAAATTAGAGCCTAGCGTGATATCCGTAATCTGTTTACCATATTGTTCGATGGATAGAGGTAAATCCTGGAATTATTCCAATAATTTACCTTACAATATTATTATTATTATTATTATTATTATTATTATTATTATTATTATTACTATTATTATTATCGTTATAATCATCATACTATGTATCCCACATATGATTTTCAGTAGTAAAGTTGAAGGAAAAAGAGAGAAAAAAAAGAGAAAACGTTTAGTTTTACTTAATTTATCTTTGTATCGTTAAGTAATTAAATGCTACCTGTAATCTGTTATTATGTAAAGTAATAGTTTTTAGTTTTGGCATCACTTCATTGAGCCGATCATCAAGTGACATTAAATGATTGTTATGAAGCAATAAGGTTGTTATTTTATTCGTTCGATATAGTTCATCACCAGTCAATCGTATCAAATAATTTCCAGAGAGATCTAATAACTAAAATTTAATTGTTGAAATAAAAACAGTGCTTATCAATAGTTCTACATCAAATTTTTATAAAAATTCAAGGAGTCAAATGACTTAAAATTTTAATAATTTTTATAAATTTCATAATCGTCCAAATTTGTGTTATAAGTATATATATATAATCTAACTTTCTCAGAAAAATTAATTTTTAATTTTTTTTTAAAATTATTAAACAAAATTTTCATTAATTAATAGAAAACCTGTAATGATGGTAATGTATTAAATGCTAAAGGTTGTATTTCCCGTATTGATGAGTGATTAAGATGAAGGTGCAAAAGGCGTGTACGTCCCAGGAAATCATGACTTCGTACCACAGGAATTTCCATATGTTCCAAATAAATATGTGTAGCATACATTGGTATATCCTAAAAATTAACTTTTTTATTTAGATTAGATAGACTAACATATTTTATTTTACTTACAAACCAAAATATCTAAATAATAAAACTAAAGAATGTAAAATTTTGAGTAAATTAATGTAAATTTATTATGATAGCATTTTATGATATGAAAGTTTATTTCAATTGTCATCAAATGTCTTTTTTTTTTTTTTCTATATATAACTTTTTAAATCTTATGTACATATTATCATTCATATATTCTCTATATTTCAAAAATTTTATACAAATGATTATATTATATATGATAAATTTAATTTAATATGTTTAATTGATATAAATTATTATGATAGTATTACTTTTGGTGAAAAGTTATTACGATCTTCCGATTGTAATGCTGTACAGCGTACAATATTTATGGTATATGTGACATCATAATAACAGTGACAACCATCAGGACATTTTGATTTGCAATCACAATTACCATACTGACAGCAAATGCAATTTGGCTCACAGACCTAAATTTAATAAAGTGGTATTTTGAAAACTTTCAAGATGGTACATTTAATTAATTATTGTTTAAAATCATCAGAATTTTCTCTTCCTTTCTTCTCTCTTTCCAATTCCTTCATAATTTATTTTAGTTTTGAAATTTTTTTTTATTAAGAATAATTACTTGTTTATAGCTACAGAGTAAATCATCCTTCCTAACTTCCGATAATAAAATACGTCGATTATAAATTCGATGTAAGCAAACAGCACGATTATCATCAATAATATCAATAAGCGATTTCTCCTAAAAAATATTTAATTTCAATTTTTTCTTTTCAACAAATTGATATATTTTGAAATATAGGAAATGGAAAAAAGATTATTGTAACAATTAAAATAAAATAACAATAATTCGTTGAAAATAAATCAGTAAGTAAATGAGTAAAGTGTTGGGCAAATGAAAATTGTTGAATTAAACAATCAAATTTAAATTAATTTTTTTTGCTAGAAAAAAAAAGTTTAAAACTAACATCTTTATTGTTACGAATCCAATCCATTTCACAGCTACAGTCTAATGGATTATCAGCTATAGATAGTCTTACTGGATGACCAGTTGTTAAACTATCTACCATAAATGCTGCTATTTCTAATTTTGTTAATTGATTTTTTCGTAAATCCAAACTGCTTAGAAATTGTTTATTTCGAAATGTACCATTATCAATTGTATGAATTAAATTATCACTTAGATTTAAATATTCCACTGTATTCGGAATTTGCTCATCTGTTAAAGCCATTATACGATTTCGTTGTAACTATAATTGAAAATTATTGAAATTTCACATTTTTTTTTTCAAGTTTACCTTAAAATTTATGATTTCTAAAGAATTTAAATTAATAATAGCATTCGGTAAAATTAATTTCTTTTTTCTTTATAAAAATGAAAACTTTTCCGTTGAATTCTACATCTCTTTTGAATTGGTTACTTTCATTTATTAATTAATTAAATGAATGAATAACCTGTACATGACGTATCCTAGATCGTTGGGTACTACTTAGTAGGGTAATTTGATTATTATTCATTTCAAGATGTGTCATTGTTACTGGAAATTCATCCCATTGTAGCAATTGAATCATATTAAAACTTGAATTGAGACGTTTAAGATTTTGTAACTCTTGAAGTGCTCCATTGAAATTTGTTAAATAATTGCCAGACAAATCAAGTTGACGTAATTTGGGACATTTTGAAAATGCATCTTCAGCCAAATGATCGATTGTATTGAATGAAAGATCAAGTTCGATTAAACGAGGCATATCCGAGAAAATATACGAATCGATCTACAGTAAATAAACAGTAATGAATTTCAATTTTCGAATTTAATTTAATTTTTCAAAACTTCAACCAGGATTTTATTTTTTTTTAGTGACTAAATTTGCTTGTAATAATTTTTTATAATAATTTTCAACCCTTTTTTTTCTTTTTTTTCCATCAGAAAATTTTCACAATTTTTTTTTGAAAAAATTTTGCTAAAATAAACATTTGATGGTTGGCCATATTGGTCTTATATAGGAAAATCGTATTCAATTAGTTCAAGTCAAATAATAAGTAGGCTGGTAGTTTCCAGCTCTCCAAGATAAATAGGCTGATGATAGTTTATAGCCTGATAGTTTCGAGCCAAGATAAATATGATGGTAATTATGTCGATTCTAACAAAATCTTTTCATATGTAGTTATCTGTGCTTCATTATATAAGTTTTTTTTTAAAAAAAAATAGTAAATTAAAAAGAAAAATGTTATTTCATTTCAGTATTCGATTATTTCATTCATTAATATCATATTATCCATCCATTTCTGATTAAATTTTTAGTTTCATTTCAGAAATAAAATGTGGAAAAAATTATTGTTAAATACGAAAAGTTTTGTGGTCAATGTATATTTGTTTGAGTAATGAATGCATTTTATTTAATTTTTTTTCTTTTTCGTTACTTTTTTTTTCAATAAAAAAAAGTCATTATTTTGGCGTCAATAAACTACATTAAAATTATTTTTAGGCTAATGGGAAAAAATTTTAAATGAAAAAAAAAATTTTTTTTTAATCAGAAAAAAAAAATTGGGAGAGATAAGAGGGAAAAAAAAAAACGGAAAGAAAAGAATAATGACGGTAGGATGACAATGATGGACCGTTAGGCATCGGAAGATGTTTGGTTGACAAAAATTGAATGAAATGAGAAAAAAAAAATGGTTGACAAAAATAGCAGCTGTTAATGGATCGTCTTTCTTCCTCATCTAATCAGGAAGAGAAAAAAGAAAAACTTTTTTTTTTTTAGGAAAAAAAAAAAGAAAGAAAACTTTTTCATTATATAGCAAATGATTTATATGTGAGATAAAAAGATGAGATAGATGTAAGAGAGAAATGAATTTTAATTGTAAAATGAGAAACAAGAGAGGATTGATTGATGAATTTGAAAAATTAAATGAAAACAACAATGGATGAATTTTGAGAAAGGAAAAGTGAGAGTGAGAGAGAGAGAAGAAAAGAAATGAGAAAGTTTCATATGTTTCAATTTTTAGAAAATATAATTTTTTGAGCAAATTTAAAATTTAAATAATTCATTTTTTTTCTTTTTAATCATTTTCCTAATCATTCACTAGAAAAGTAATTTCAAACAAAAAAAGAAAATGTAAAATAAATTGAAAATTTACCGTTGTAAGTTTATTCTTGCAAAAATTCAGCATTTGCAAATGTGGCAATTTGTTGAAAAGAAACTTATAAGTTTTGCTGAAAATAAAAAAATAAATAAATGATTTGATGTGTTCTAAACTTGAAGCAAATTTTCAAGAAATTTAAATTATATAAAATTATATCTGTTTCTTTAGGGTTTTAGATTAATTTAATAATTATTACTGCAAAATTAGACTTAGAGTAATGATAAAAATTATGAAATTAAACAACAATGAAAATGAATAATAAATAGAGGAATACTTTTTAAATTTTATTTCTTTCTATTTTTACATATTTTTAATTAATTAAAGCTCTTCTTTGGATCTTTTAATATTCCATAAGCTTTTTTTCTTTTTTAATTCATTGCAGTAAGCCAAATTCTAGAAATTTTAAATTTTTTAAAAATTTGAAATTGATTATAAGTAATTTATCTTATTGTCTATTAAGTATGCTTTATTCCCAATCATTCTAATTTCCGTCTTTTACAATTTGCTATTTGTTGTTGAATTTGATTTGAAAGGAAGAGAAGCGGTCGATGCCATCCTGAACTATCATCAATCTATGCGCAAATGATGAATGATCCTTTGCTTCCGATACATCGGATCACTTCGGATCAGTTACAGACAGAAGCAAATTCAATTACTCTATTCAACTTACTAATCACTGATTAAATGATTAGTTAATGATTATCATATCACACTTTATTTATTTATTTATTTTTTTTTTTGAAAATATGAATGACAAAGAATTAATTAGAAATGGCATAAAAATTTCTGTTACATTGATAAAAGCTATGAATAGAGAATAATTTTCTCAATTATAGGCCCAAAAAAGTATAATAAATCTTTTCCTTACAGTTTAACCTTTTCATTTATCATAATTCTAAGATATCATATAACTAATTATAAGAATAATTCTCAATACATTAAAATTGAAATGAATAATAATAATAATAGACTGATCTAGCTAATTATATAAGCTGTTTAAGGAACTTTCTTACTGTCAAAAAAATTAAACAAAAAGAAAATTAAAAAATTCAATAGCTTTGATCATAGATTTGAAATTAGAAAGTGAGACGAAAAATTTGGTGAAACAAAAAAAATGTAATGGAGGTGAAACATTTACCTGATTTGATTATTTGATAAATCAAGGTAGCGAAGTTTGAATAAACGTCCCAATGCAAATGGTACTTCGATTAGTAAATTTCTACCGAGGTGTAATTCTTGTAGTTGTGGTGTTGTTTCAAATGTACCCATATCAATTTGATAAATTGAATTATTGAATAGATATAAATGAGTTAGACTTATTAAACCTTGTAAATTCTCTTCTTCAATTTCTGCTATTCGATTGGAGCTAAGATCAAGCTGAAATTAATTAATTAATTATATTTAAATTATTTTTTTGATTTTCGTTTGATGTTATTTTATATTATCTAGTATCATAAACAATGAATATTATTTGAGTCTAAAAGAATTAATCAGAGTCAATCACAATTTTTACGTAACTTTTTCATTACTTATTCCAATTAATTACTCAAATTCATGTTTCAGTCTTAGATTTCATATTTGAAATTTTTATATTTCATGTTGTAATGTTTTCCTAAAAGTTATTTTTTCTTCTCTACACATTGTGCTTTAAAAAGCTATAATAGATAACTTATTCAAATTACCTTTTACTTTTCTCAAACTACTCTTTGCATATTGAAATTACTTTTTACTTGCTGAAATCATTTTTAACTTAGTCAAATAATTCATTGAAATTAGTTTTTACAAAAATTTCAGATACTTCTTTGAAGTTTTTTACCGCAAAACGCTTGTTTTTTTTTTTCTTTTTTAATAAATGTAGCAGTTTATTGCTAACTTTTTAGATGTTTCCTTTAATTTATTTTTCTTATTGAACAAATTTTCAAGGTTATTTTTCCCATAATTGTTCTCGGACAATTTTATAAATAAAAATTTCCTCTTTTCATTTCATTTTATTTATTATACGAAAATTGGAAAATTATTATATAGTTTAAATTTTTATCAGAGAAAGAGGAAATAAAAAGTTCGTTTTTTTTTTTTTTTCATAAAGTTTTGTTAATTAGTTTTAGTGAGGAACGGAGATGAATTAGAATAAAATGGATGTAATTTAAATGATATCTTATTGATAAATGTAATTGAAAAATTTTTTCAAAATGATATGCATTCAAAATTAGGTATAAATAGAGTTTTACATACATACATCTATGCATATTTGATTAAAGAGAGAGAGAGAGAGAGAGAGAGAGAGAGAGAGAGAGAGAGATCAAAGGGAATGGAAATGAAAAATTGCACACAGAAGAGATATGAATGAAGAAAGGAGGAAGTTTGATTAGGTCATCTTGTGTCATCCAGATATGTCCTCTTAATTCTTCTATATTTACAATGTCCGCTTGAAAATGACCTTGGATAATATGTATAATGTAAATTCATACACATTATTATTTATTAGATTATAGAGAAGAGTGTTATTATTATTATATACATTACAGATCGAAATGTTACATCAAAATACATAAAAATATTTTATAAAAATTAAAACTAATTAGCTAAATTTGAAATTTTTGTCTATTTAATAGGAAAAATCTGCATACTATATTTATATATCTTTTAAATATTACTGATTAAATATTAAGTTTAAAGTGAGGAAAAAAAGAAGAAAAGATAGGATGAATATTAAATAATAATAATAATAATTATTATTCAGTTTCATATGACCTAAAATTCTCAGACGAAATGGATTATTACCGTATCAGATTATTTTATTATTAGTATTATTATTTATTACTTTATGTGAAATTCACATGTAAACAACCCTAAATAGATGTAATAATTGCATATTGATGACTGAAATATATTATTAAAATATGTTACCACATGAGTTTTATCTCTTATTGAAGTACTCTCAGTAATATAGCGTTAAGCTGAATTCCGATCATTTTTATAAGCCTCTCTTCTGGATTTATGATTCATTTACCGGAAACAGAAATGTACAAATGTTTTTAATCCTCTTTGTCTTATGACTAAATTAGGAATATTAATAAATGTATTGGAAATGGAAAAGATACACTTTACACTAGGAATTAAATTACATTAAGAAAATAACTCAAAACTTGATCAATTATCACTTAAAATTCTAATTAGAATTCAAGTAGTGAGATTTCTGAATCATCATATAAAAGAAAGTAATATATATTTTGGAATAATTAATAAATAGTGGTGATAATAAATAATAATAATTTTGATAATAACAACAACAATAATAATAATAAATAAATATAATAAAGCAATACATACTTTATATTCTTTTCTTTTTAATTTTTATATCTTTTTCTCACAATCATCACTGCATTCTTCGCATGATATATTTCAAAAAAATTGAAAAAAAATTAAGAAACAATAAATATTTGATATGTTGGGTTATGGATTTGAAATGAAGAAAAAATAAATTTTATAAGTAAATAATTAAATTTAAAGACTTAATTAGGCAAACGCAATCCAAAAAAATAGAAAAAAAAATAGCAAATTAATATTTTTAATGAAAAAAGAATCATAGCTTTTGTCCAAAAAATTGTGAAATGAATTGAATTGAATAATAACTTTATTGTTTCACAAATGAATATTTTAGAAATGAAACATTATGCAATCAGTTGAAATATTTAGATAAATTTTTTTAATTTATATGCTTAAAAAAAACTGATCAAAATTTTCTTCTAAAATATTAATTATTTATTAAACTTAATAACGAGTTATTATTTTTTCGTTGGTGTTTGCCTAATTAATTAGTTCAAATATAATTGTTTATTGGTAAAGTTTGCTTCTTAATTTTAAATCCATAACCATTTCTAAACACTTTTAATTTTAATAATTCATCCTTTATTTCCTTTTATTTGCTTTTTTTTAAAAATTCTTTCATAAAAGATCTAATTGTTGACATTCTAAATGTAATTGCTTATTTTTTTCTTTCTTTCCTTTTTTTTTCTTTTCGTAATATACGGAAAAATTAAGTCAAAAATAAGGAAAAGAATAATTTTATTCTTTTTATATTAATGCAAATATATTTTAATATAATTATGTTAGGTGTCAACCGTTTGTTTACATTTGATCTCTAAAAAGAAGTAAACAATCGGTCTTTCTTCTTTTTTTTTTCACTTGCAAAAGTATTTAAATAATTTTTTTGAAAAAAGGGTGACAGATGAGAATAAAAGTTTAATATTTTTGATTTGGCGTTGGGAACATATTATTGTTGAGTAAATTAAATTAGTAATGGAAAGACAAACTCAAAAATAATCGTTATATAATGGTGATAGTAATAACAATTATAATAATAGTAGTGAGATAATAACTAATAATAATTGCGAAAGATAATAAAATGATAATAATAATTAATAATAATAGTAATTAATAGCAAAATATCACATGTACTTGATAGCAATAAGTAGAATGAAACAATAAAAATTAATTTTCTGAAACAAAATTAATTCTCCTAATTAATTTTGCAAATATTTGATGATATATCCAACTATGAATATTGCTTAACAACTATTTAAAACTGTTTTATTCTGACAAATTAAGGATTTTAATTTTTACTATTTGATTTAGATAATCTTATCTATAATTTATTGTATAGATTTAATTGACTGGAAGAAATTTTTTCCAAGTTTGGAAAGTTTTTGCAACAAAATCATAAGTAATATCTATTCTTACTTGAACTCTGAAACAATTTTGTGTAAATGTTGGATTTAATTTCAAATTTGCAATTCACATCGATTTTAGGATTTTCAGTTTTTCATTTTAAATGAATGAAGAAGCGAAGAATTATGGGGAACACAATACATTTACTGTCATATAAAAAAGAATGTAAGTTGTTTAGATCTATAAACTGATTAATTGCGCCTATTTGGATGCTACTCAAATCATCTTGAAAGAGGGAGAGAAAGAGAGAGAGAGAGAGAGAGAGAGGGAGAGAGGAGAGAAAAAATGGAGGGTTTCTTTTAACTAATTTTTCTTTTTTCTAAAAGGAAAAAAAGAGCACAAGGTTAAACGAAGTTAATTTTTGATTTATTTTAAAATTTTATTGCTTATTGGAAAATATTCTTTGATTTTTTTTTTCGAAGATGGAAAAGAATAAGTCTTCTTTTTACTTTATTTTTTTTTTTTTTTAAATGATTAAGATGAAGCGAGAGTTGAACTCATTTAAACTAGTACTTCAGTTAATCTTAACAATGAGAAATATAAAAATTAATAAATGAAATTGAAAAAAATGCACCAACAATAAATTAAGTAAATAAAACTAGTAAATAAAGAAAATATTTATTGAATAATACAAAATTGTTTATTAAACTTACCACTAGTAAATTTGAATAATTTTGAAAAAATAATGGTTCCAATTGTGTAATCCGATTATAACTGAGTGATAAATGTTGCAATTGTTGAGAACAATGCAAAAATAAATTTTCTGGGATAAATTCAAGACGATTACGACTGAGATCAATCGTTTCTAATGTTGTACTAATAATAGGAAATGGAGTATTTGCATCGATGGCATTTCCACTGAGATTCAAAAATAATAAATTTGGTAGATTAGCTATTGTTGATGGAATAATACTTAAATGATTCCAGGCAATATCCAAATGAATTAATGTTTCTGAAAAGAAAACAAAAAAAAAATTATTTTATTCATTATTTTTTTTCTCATTCAATCGATTTATTCATTAATTTTATTATTTAATTCATTTCATTAATTATTTGTTGTATTTGATTTTCCATACAACTTACCAGTTTCTATTTGCTTATATAATTAATCCTAATTTATCTAAACTTTCTTAATTGTTATTCTTTTATTTTATTACTATTAATATTTTAATCTATTTTTTCTTTTTTATTCTTTTTTCATTTGAATAATAATTACTTTATTATTTTATCTATCTTTAAAAAAAATTTTACTTCAATTTCCAATAATTATTATTTTGTTTGCTGTTTCATTTGACTGTTTAATTTATTTCTCATTCACAACCTATTTTAATGGTTAGTTAATTGCATGTTTAAAACGAAAAGATAGGCATCGCATCTTCGTTTGATTATCGATGATGAAAAGAAAAATTTAAGTTTCATTCGAGGTCATTTATCTACGTTTCATTATCATTACCATAACTTTAGATTGTTAGAGTAATTAGTAAGTATATCATTATTTATATTCATATTTATTTATTACTTTATTTACTTTCCAAAAAAAAAGGGAACAATTACTTAATTCTTATCTTTTTTGATTGCTCTTTCTTTTTCATTTAAATAATTATTATTTCATTTTTTTTTTCATTTGTCGTAATAATCAAATAAAAGAGTAATTAGATATTCAATTAAAAATTAGAAATAAATTATATTCATTCCTTAATTGTATATCTAAATTACTTCTTTGTTTGTTACTTTTTAGTAAATTATATTATTTTCTAAAAAAAAAAAATAACATAGAAAAGAATATATGTACGTTCTTACCTGGCATAATAGGTAACTCTTCGATATTATTATTTCCAATATGTAATTGTTGTAGCAGTGCGCAAGCTTTTAATGCATTACGACTAATAAAGCTAATTTGATTATTGGCTAATAAAAGTTGTCGTATTGCAACAAATTGTGTTAAATCATTATCAGTAATTGATCGAATTTGATTATAGCTCAAATCGACGATTATCAATTGTTCCGCTTTATTGTTACATTTAACTAATGAGCCAGCACTGTTATCATTATTATCACTATTAACATCATCGGCATTGATACTTAAACGAGCACTTCGTAACCAATTATGTGAAACATTTATCACCTGTAAAGAAGAAGGATGCAAATGAAATAGATAGAAATTATTATTATTTGAGTAAATTAATGATGAAATTAGCCAAATAAATTAAATAAAAATTTAGGAAAACAATTAATAATTTTGTAAACAAAAAAAAAACAAAAAAATTATATTAACTTATTTTTTTAATAATGAAAAAAAGGTGATATATGATAAGTAAATTAATAAGCAAAACAATTGAATGCATAAATAATTAGCATATTAGAAAATGAAAAAAAAAAATTGGTAAATAAACATTAATTTACAGAAAAAGCAAATCAAATATTTATATTTTTTTCTTTCTTACAATTTATCAAACATTTTAGAGAAAGAGAAAAAGAAATTTTTTCATGAAAAGAAAAATAAATTTTTTTTCTTTTCTTTATGTACACTTCCGACTGTTAATTTTAAATTCATTGTTTACCTATTTGTCTGTTAAACTTATCATTATTACCTGAATATAAGGACTATCACAGAGTAATGTATCAGGTAAAGCTTCCAAATTACAGTCCACAATAGTGAGTTTTTCCAATCGTTTATTATTCAGGAAAAATTGATCCGGCAAAATGAGCTTTTTATCCGGAACATTTAATTGATTAAAATATACCGATCGTAAATTACTGAGTTTATGTAGTAACGAATTAGGAAAAGCATGTGTGCGACATTTCTAAAATGAAAAGAATAGCAGTTTAATTCAATTTTATTAATATTTATGTTATGAGAAATTTTATTTTCTAATTTCCTTATATCCCTATTAATTAATTCATATATTCACAGTTTTTTTTTTCTTTTTTTTTTTAAATTATTTCATTGTTTTTGGATTATTTGTTCAATTATTTTATATTATTGATTTATTCATATATTTATTAGTTTTTTCCTTTTATTTCTTTCACTTACGAATTTTAGATGAATAACTGACTAAATTAATTGATTCTCATTTCATTTAATAAATTTTTTTGATAATTTTTTTTTTGTTGTATACTTCAAAGAATATGAATAAGAGAATATGGGAAGGGATAGAGAGAGAGAGAGAGAGAGAGAGAGAGAGATGTCTAGTATATGTAATTAACCTGAGAAATAATTTTTCTTTCATTATAGAAATGATGTATGGATGTTTGAGGGACTTTATCACACTTCTACAACAACTATTACTACTACTACTACTACTACTAGTAGTACTACTAACTAACTAACTAACTAACTGAATGACCTTTGATCAAAGTAAAATGTGTAAAATGGACACATCCTTAGAGGAGATTATAAATTTTGTTCCCAATTCTCATTCCTACATGGTCTTTTTGCTTCATTAATTTCCGATTACATTGCAAAAATAAATTTCTTGCGGGCAAAATGAGAAGTAAATAAAAAATGTTTTCATCAAAAAATGAGAAAAAAAAAAGTGCGAGAAGTAAAAATTTAGGAAAATGTAAATAAATATTAAATGGAAACGTTTTGAAAATAAATAAACAATTATAAATTTAAAAAAAAGTAAGCAAAATTAAAATAAAATGAAAATTTCGAAAGTGGTGAAAAAATGACTGAAAACTGAAAATAGTTATTGAAGTAATAATTTCAATTTATATCTCTTATTTTCTTTCTTTTTTTTTTGTTTCCTTATAAAGAAATAATTTGCACGATTTTATTATTTTAAATAATTTACAGCTTCTTTTTTTTTCGTTCTTAATAAATATATTTATTTCACTAAAGATTTTTCATTTTTTTTCTTTTTTTTTGGAAATTTGAATATTCTGTGGGAAATTTTATAATTTTTAAAAATTTATTTGACTATATTTCGTGAGAAAATAGATTGACAGAATGGAATGAGAAATTTTATATAATATATATAAATATAGGAGTGGGAAAAGTTAAGAATGATTTATAATAATATATTTGAATAATAAGGATAACAATTAATAATTATAAGGAGTTATATGAGAATATAAGCGTAGAGAGAGAGAAAGAGAGAGAGAGAAAGGGAAAGAGAAAAAGAGACAGGTAATTGGGATAGCAATTTGAAAATATTATCGACAGTTGAGGATAAGTAAGATTCAATCAAACGATGACGGTCGCTATCGGATCAGCTACAATAGTAGAATTAATATCTATCAATAAATGAATAGGTAAGTATAAAAATATGTCAAATTTTCATTTCTTTTTGTTTTAATCTTTTAGATGAAAAGAAGATTGAAAAAATGTGCATTTAATTGATTTATGGCTAAATTTATTGATATAAATTGAAATAATTATATAAATAAGTTTGAAAATTTTTATTTTGAATTAAATGATTAATTCTTGAATAATTTTAATTTCATTTTAAATATTTTTACATCTATTTTATTCGTTGATTGATTTTACCAATATTTAATCTTATTTTTTATTTTGCTAATCTAAAAGTTATGTTAAAAAAATTGAATGTATTGATAAATAATTCCTAAAAATAGAAATACGGCGGTAATAAATGATAAAATGGAATACCTGTATTCGTAAATGTTGTAAATTATTAAATTGGCTAAATAAATTTTCATCAAAAATAATCGATGTTATTGATAGCGAATCATTGTCATCACATTCGATACTAAGAGTTTTTGTAATATTTAATGGAAATTGAGCGAATATTTCTTGTTTCCATTTATTATCGGATGTTATTGTTGTTGTTGTTGATGTTGATGTTGATGACCATTTACAACTTATAATAAAACGATCCTGTTCAGCTACATCCGGAACACAGGTGCATCTTAAATAAATTATTGTAATTATTAATAAAATATTATTGCTACCATCATCATCATCATTATTTTTAAAAAAATTAATAATTAAAAAAGATTTATGAAAATACTCAGTTAATTGCAACTAATTCCTCGCTTCTCTTTCTATTTTGTTATTTAGCTATATAATAATTTTAAAAAATTACAAAATATTCTGTTACAATGATTAATTAAAATATTAAAAAAGAAATTCTACCATTCTTTTCTTTTTATTTTATTTTCAAAAATTATGAATAATAAAGAAATGAATTTTGTTTTCTTACTTATTCAATTTTCCTTTTGCTTTTTTTTTTTATTTTTTATAAAGTACTTTTAATTTTTCTTTCTTTTTTTGCAATAAATTTTTTAATTATACCGTCTTGGACATTCGAAATGATTGATTCTAATATTTACAACTGGCTGTACATAGTAATACAATAAAATAAGCAGTATGTGGGAATCCGTTACATCCATATTCCTAATATATAAGTAATCAAATAAGTAAGTAAGTAATTAAGTATAGAAGAGCTCGAAAAGTGAACTCTTTTAGTAATTTCTTTCCTTTATTTCGTCGGCATCTTCTCTTCTGCTTTTTAGATGAAATGACCGCTTCTGAAAGATAAATAAATGATAAATTTTTTTTGTAAATAAGATAAAATAACCGTCTTAAAAATTAAAAAATTAAGAAAAGATTAATAATTGATATGCAAATGATGAATAAAATTAAAGAAAAAGGAATGAAAATACTAATTGGTAATTATTATCCAATAAAACTTAACAATAATAATCGATTAATTAATTTTATCGAATAACATAAAATTGATAACATTTTTACAGTGGAAAATATGAGGCAAATGATGGGAGAAGAATGAAAGAGAAAGCAGTTATTCAATGGTCCTTGAAAATATATAAATCCAATAAATCTTTTTGAAAATGGATTAATCAATTAAAAATTTCTTAGATATCAAAAAATTTAAAAAATGTAATTTTTCATTTTATTTTCAAAAAAAAATTTTTTTTAGTGATTATTAGACAAGCTGAAAGAAATTTTGTTATAAATAATATCATCTAATAAAATTGATGATAATAATACTATATACTTATGATAGCTTTTATTTGCTTATTAACAAACAAATTGATAAGAATGAGGAAATGAGGTATATGTATAACCTTGAACAACTGATAAGCGAAAAATAATAGATAAGGAATGAATGATTGCTTATCAGTAATGATTGATTTGAATGATAGAAATAAATGATTGGATAAGACTAAGTGCTACATCATTATTTAACTACAACTGGCAGGAAAGAAGGCAGTCGAATTAATGATTTTGGTTTTTCTTTTTCTTTTTTTTTTTTTTTTTGTGAAAAGAAGAGGTGCGGTGAATATCGGAGAGCGCAAAAGGCGATAGGAGTGGTTGTCCTAATTTAAAATTCATTTATTATTAATCAACTACTTCTATTACTGCAACAGCCGATACTACTGGTGGTTATTGGAGATGATGAAAAGCTTATGAAATATGCAAATTTATTGGAGGAGTATTGTTGAGAAATGAATAAAAATTATGTGAATGGAAATGGAAGAATTAAAATTTGATTATATTTTTTTCAGTGATATAATCATTTTCATTATTAATACATCTCATACTTAAATCATTTTTTATTTCATAAAACGATTTTATAATTGAATGTTGTTTGGTTTGATTTTTTTCTATTTCAAAATTTGATTAATTGATTGATTACAAAACATTTAAATAAGTAATTTAGCTGAAATGACCAATAATTTTCTTCAAACTCATTGAAATTATATTTTTAATAAATTATGCTAAATTTATTCCGAAACTTCTTAACAATTCTAGTAAATTATTATGTGTTTTTGAGCAACAAGAAAAAAAAAAGCATTTAATTTTGGAATATAAGTTTGAAATTATACCAATTTTGAAATTTGATAACATATTAACATAATTTGATTATAAAAAGAGAAATGGGAGATTTTTTCCATTCTCTTAATTACCTAATATTTGATTAGAAATAAATTAAACAACTCTTTATTTTTCTTTTCATATGTAAAATTAAAAATTTTTATTACTACTTTCACATTCCATATTTCAGTGAAAAAAAAGGAAAAAATTGTTATGAATAATGAATAAAATATAAATGATAAAAACTTTATAATACATCGTGAAATTTAATAATCTAATTTGTACTCTAACATTTCAAGTATCTATTTTTATTTTACTAATAAAAAAAAAACAACCACCAATAACATATTTTATTCAACATTATATATATCAAATGTTTTTTCTTTTCTTTTTTGTTTATTTACCTTTTCATTTATTAGAAATGAAATTGAAGACAAAAAAAAAATAAAATAAATAAATTCGAAATTAATTTTTCTTACATCACTTATGTGAATTGATTAGTTAAATGACTGTATTATAATTATAACATACTATCAAATCAGTTTATAATCGATTACAATCAATTTAAAGTTCTTTTCTCTCTCATTTCTTCATCCTATCATCCATCATTTTGCGCCAACGAATCGTTTGGCCCATTTTGCATAATACAAATATATATGTATTCATCTAATTTTCCAACCAAATGAAATAAAGTTGTAAATGTTTCATATTTCTTACATACATATATAATCGTAAAGTTGAAAATTCGAGAAGTTTCAATTTCGATTAATTGATTCCATAATATGGCCCAGTTATTATTATGCCTTGTTTAATGAATGTACTTCTTTGTTTGTTTTAATTATTTCAAAAATCTCAATTTGTTTATTTGTTTACATAATAAATATATGTATGCATTAGAATTGAAAATTATCTAAATTTATATCAAAAATTAGACAAACTGAGTTAATTTAGACTTCATTTTTCCATTTACTTACTGAAAATGAAATTTTTTTTTTTTTATTTCTAAATGATCATATCATTAAGCTTATTCTTCTCATTTTTGTCCTTTTCATTCAAATCGTTAATCTTCTCTTTCAATGCTTTTTTTCCTCTTTTTTTTTATTTCTTATTACAATTCATGAACTCATTCGATATTTTCTTTTCATTTCATTTTTTCTTGTTTTATGTTGATTAAATAAAAAAAAAAAAAAAATCATTTCTAATAGTAATAATAAATGTGATGTCTTGATTTATTCGTTGTTTTTGGATGAATTTCATTGGAAATTTCATTTGTTAAAATTTCAAAAAAAAAAAAAGAATAGAAATGAAGAATTTTGATTAAGGATAAGATCGTAAGCAGTAGAGAAAAGGAATACAAATTGATAATTAACAATTTGTTTGATAAAGCATTTTTGCTTTATCGCTTGTCTCTTAGAACTAATTATTTCTTCTATATTCAGTCTAATCTAATCTATTTGATGTCATTTAACTATTAATTTATAACTTTGCATGTTTTATTTAGTAAATAGCAAAGTAATAGTAAGCGAAGATGAAGAAAAACAGTGAAATAAGGAAGGTAAAATATGTATAAAAAAGAGTAAACAAAAGCAAACTAATTTGGGTAAAATATTTAATTGTTCATAAAAAATTCTTGCAAAGAAAGATATGAGACTTATTGAACTGATATGATAAGGAAAAGCAGATAGCTAATGAGTAATTAATTGATATGATAAATTGTAATGCATCTACTAGTGGTAATTTATTAAATTAGGATGGTAAATATAACTAGTAGAAGAGTAAATAGTGCTGAATGTATCGTAATAGAAATATCTGAAATAGATTATAGGGAAAGTTCTTTTTCTTGAAAACTTAGGAAAAAAAATAAATCTAAAATTTGAGTTGGAATTTAACGAATGTAAACATCGTTTAGCATAAAATTAGCTATATGGAAGATACTTTTTTTTCACAAAAAAACTATGAATTTTTACCCACTTTTTCTAGCTAATTGTTACTTTCGATAGAATTTGGGTAGCAAAAATCGAAAAATAACAAAATAAATAAATATATTTAAGTATCCAAATTACTAAAATAGTAACAGTAATAATAGTGACATTAATTAATTAACAATAATAATAATGATACAAAAATTTTTACCATACCTTAATAAAAGTACCCGCAAAAAGTTCTAAAATTTTTGCTGTTAATATTAATTTCACACTATTCATACCTTTTTTTTTTTCATTAGTGTCGATTTTCAATTTTAATGACAATAAAAAATGACAATAACATCATGCAATTATTGGCAACTGTTCCTGTTTCGGTTTATAATGGGAAATGAGAATGTGGAACAAATCCTAATCGATTAAATAATAATTGACTTTGTATAGTTTTCAACTTTATTACTGGACAAATTCAGCAGAAAATAAATTAATAAACTTGAGATTTATTTTAGAAGAACAAAAAAATTGTTAGAACACCTGAAAAGATTTGCTTTTTTCTTTTTAGAGCGAGCAAATTTAAGAGCTTAAAGTTTCTTTTTTCTTAAAAAAACATTTAAACTTACATAAATTGAAAGAATTCAAGAATGACAACTTGAAGAGTTTTTTTTTTTCTTTTCTTTGTTTATAAAATATGAAATGTAAAATTAGACAAAAAAAGAATGTTCAATTTTTAAATATTAAATCAAATTTCTATGTTATAACAGTTTTATGTTTGCAGAAATGATTTATATGCTAAATGTGTTGAATAAATAACTGATTATCTAAACCTGAACCTATTTTCCAAATCCATCCACCGCAGGTGGTCACTGATGGACAGAAAAGAAAATAAATGGGTGGAAAAGGACCAAAGGGTATCTAAAAGGTGGCGCTTTAATCAATTTTGCAAACATCATTAACCTCATATTAACTATATAAATTTCTCACTATATTTATTTATTTATTCATTTACTTATATATTTATATATATATGTTCTTTTATTAATTTCATTTACATCAATTAATTAATGTTGTTTAACTTACAGTCAATTTTAAATTGAAATTATCAGTTATTTTATTTAATTTAGATTAATAATTTGCATAATCTTTCAAATGTTTAACGATCGTTTGAAAAGAAGAAAAAGAAACGATTTATTAAAGTTTAAAACATCATGAAGTGATAAATTAATAATAATTAATGAATAATAAATAACAGATTAACAATAATAAATGTCAGTTATTTAATTTAATTTAATTTAAATTAATATAATCCGCATATCAACTTGGCATAAATAAACAATATACAATAAACTGAATAAAAAATTCTTATAACAACTTTTACTTTTAAATTCAAAACAATATGAAGTAAGTATTGAAGTAATATATTAAAAGGAAGACAAATGATATATGTGTTATTAAAGCAATGTAGGATTAATTGAATAAATCGAGTAACTAAGTATCATATTAACAAAAAAGGAGAGAAAAGCTGTGAATAATATGGGATGAGGGGAGGGGAGGGGAGGGGGCGGAAAAGGGTAAATGAATGAAGTTAGTTGAGAAATGGTCACAATTGCCTAAATGTGGTGTTGTAGTAGAAG